CATGCTGGTTGTGTATGTAGGTTAATAGTTAACCTAACTCATTTATTATGATAATATAAATGATTTGATAATATTGTTTGTAACTTGTTTATGTATTTGTTCTTGTACTGATAAATAATAGGTTAACATTTTTTTTTCTTCGTTTGTTTCAGTCAATGAACATTAGAAAGTTTTTCCTTGACTTCTCCCAATAAAAGACAACTTAAAGTCTCAAACTAAAGATTAGTTTTTCTTCATGAATAATCGATTTATAAAATTACGTTCTTAACAAAAAAGACTACATAGGGTTACTATAGAAAACAAAATTATAAATTTTGAAACGTAAAGAAGGAAAATGAAAATTCCTAAACTTATAAATATCTTAATAAAAAATATATAATTGTAAGATATGTTGAACATTTTGAGTTCATAATTTAGAAAAAAAAAAGTGATTTAATTAATGTATGAAATTTTTTATTAGTTACACTTTTTTATGGACGAATATAAAAACTCTTGAACAAAGAACAACATGAAAAGATTGCAAATGGATAAAGAAGTTTTGATGAGGAAGGTTCAAGTAGAAGTAAGTCTTAAAGATGTTCAATAAGCTTGAAGACATGTATTTATGCAAAAATTGTTATAATAGAATAGGAAGATGTCTTACGACAAAATAGAATCTTAGATAACTTGAAGAATCAAGTTGAAGGCATATGCAGACAATACCAAAATTACCTTGGAGAAGTAAGTTTTTCAAGTAAAATTTACTCAACAATCAATTGTACAATTGATTGTCTTAAGTTCTAGGCAAGTTCCAATCTCGATTGTAATGAATTTGACAGCTTTGATTTTTTCCACTATTTTCCTCATAACTTTTTCCATAAATGAGGTTATTCTTGTTGGTATTGGATTGTATTAAAGACATTTAATTTGAATACTAAAACATATTTTTGTTGGAGTTATAAGCTATATGCAATTCAATTTAAAAAATAACAAATGTTTTTCACATAACCCATTGATCCAATCCACTGTATGAAAAACAATCAATTAACCATACTTTATGGGAAACATATAATCAATTGACACCAAGTTCTAATCAATTATTTGTAAAATGGAGGACTCAATGAAATTTGAAGTTGTCTTCCAAAAATCCACCTCACAATTGATTATATGCATAACAATCGATTCCAAATGCTTTATGGACAGCTATAATTGATTGTACAATCGATTATCTTAACTTTGACATTTGCTCAATATTTGGCCATAACATTTTTTATAGAACTCCAAACCAATTCATTATATTTTTCGCTTGAAACTAGACTAAAAAATATTTAATTCGAGTACTATAATATATTTTTAAGAACTATACAAATAAAATAATTTATTTCAAAAATATAGAAAGCATTACTATTTCCATGTTTTAAAAAAAATAAAACGTATAATCGATTTTCCAATCAATTGGGTAAAGTTATAATCTATTTCACCTTTAATATTAACTAGCCATTTTCAAAC